AATGAGGCTGGAAGGATGAGGTAAATTGAAATAAATCCAATGACCTCATCGGGAATCGAACCCGCGACCTTCCGGCTCGTAGCATAATGCCTCAACCAACTACGCTACCGCGTAAAGTACCTTAATACATTCAGGTAATGGCCTTTGAAGTGTTACGGACTGAACAAGATCAGAATGATTCGACAAAATTTAGCGTAGATCTGCTACTCCGAATTTATTGAAGTTTCTGACGAAGTTTAAGTATTGTAGTATGCGAACGGACGAACATGGCGAAACAGTAGGTCGGTATCATGTGTAAGAAAATAACTTAGAAGAATTTTACTGTTTTCGCTGTTTGGTCTGTTAGATACACGCCCATGTTTTGTAGTGACCCGCTGCTTCCTTCTTCACCTCTGTCATAAAATTGGAAGACGGTCGGTTAAATTGCTGCTGGTCCTCGCCAGTACAGTCATCTTTGGATTCAGATCTCGTTGAGACTTTACCAAGGTTTTTTTTTCTCCTAGGCACGTACGTGTTTGAGAAATGGTGACCACCTCTTCGACTAGGAGAGTGATTGCTCTTCTCCGAAACCTTCATATCTGTCTGCCAAGCTACACGATCGAAGAAGACTGCAGTAATCAGGGGCACCACCATGAGAACCTCAAATCATAGGATAGTTCTCGCATAACGAGTTCAAAGTATTATTTATTGAATTTCGTTTCGTATGCCTGGAGGTTTATCTTTTTACTCGCTGAGACGTCACTAAAAGACATTCTTCGGGTTTATATTTTCATGGTAAGTTGCAAATTAAGTTTGCGTGAAGCCGCAAACCGTTTAAATTGACAAAAGATGGCAGAACTTACCGAAGATTCACAAAACATAAATGCCGGATTCAAAGCGGTGGCTGATATTGTTTGTTCCATGTTCTTTCGGACTTAATACAATTTTTTAAATCGAATTATTTTTTTAGTTTCTGTAAGATCTTACGCTAGAGACTAATTTAAAATCACTAATTGATCATTCTTCTACAATCAGATAAAGTTTATAGATATGTTGGCTGTAAGACCTACGGGACTTCCGGACTTCTTTTACGGGAACTATTGTGTTGCCTGTAATTTCTAAAGGAAGTCCCATACTCTTCGTGACGCTTCTGGAGGCAGTGGGGACTGCTGCGGTCCACTGCTGGTTGTCAGAGAAACTGTAATGCTGTTATTCTCATTTGCAACGAGGGACTGAGGAAAGTCATGGCACAGTCGTTCTCCTGGTAGAATGAGCATGGTTTTGGGTCGCGAACGAGTAGCGGCCTCCCAAATTCGACGGGAACACGCCATCGCGTGAGGCAGCAACCTGGAGCAAGAAAAAAATATATTCGAAAGGCGAGAACATGTGAAGCCTGTGTTTCGCGTGCCCATATATCGCAGTTCAATCGGTTAACGTTCTTTAGACAAGAGTTCTAAACCCCGAAGCTGTTGTAGTTTTCGCTCAGTAAATTTGCAATCAAGTGGTTAGGAATCAATTTTAAATTCTTTTAAAGTAAATCTTATCAGGTAGCTTTTCCTTGCAACTTAGTCTTATATAGCTTTAATACATAACTTGGATTCTGAGAGCCCCCATAAATTTTACGATGCTTCACGAATACATGTGCAGACATGTTTCTTTTATAAACCGATGAAGTTCTGTTACAGTGGAAATGGATTCCTTCTGTAGCTAATTGTACGATTGAAACTCATGTAAACTGAGCTGAAATAGATGAACTTCGTCATGGAAGCATGTAATTATTTTTAAAAACTTCAAGAATTAAATTAAATTGTGGTCTACTCGTATTTGAGGTTATCACATTTCGTGAGTGTGAAGAATGCTATCTTCTGGGATTTAACGCAATATAGTTCAGAAGAATGTTGGATTTAAGGTTTTCAGTGTGGTAGATGTTCGACCCTTCGAATGAATATACTGCCTCCATCTTCAGGGTGGAAGATTAAGCCAAGAAAGTATCTAGCAAGAAGTTCGCACACCGATTCGTGTTGTTCCTGGCGATAGTGTACGTTTGCCCATGCTAATGAATTTACTTGCAAGTGGAACACGGTGCCTTGTTTCCGCCTCGTTTCTTCTTCTTTACAATAATGAATATGCTGTACGAATTTCCTCAATAACACGAAAATGTCACGTATATGTGTGACCGAATTTGGAGGGGAATGGACTGGGTATTGGATTTATTGATCACTTGTATACATCACTCGGAACTACACTTTTTCAGATCACTGACACACTAGTGTCTTCAGTCTGTTACAGTCTGCACTAGCCGTTTCCTAGCAACGACGTTTACCGAGGGAGATTCTTCAGCTTCCCGCATTCAGGTCCTCTTGTCATAGCTGCCCGTGCAAAACTCTTTTGTCAACTGACAGTTGTACTAACTAGGTCCCAGTCTGGTGGCCATTTCACACAAACCTCCTAGTCTTCACCTCACAAGCTGACTTCCAACTGAACTCATTCACGAACTACTTCACATCATTTCACTCAGCTGAACTGCTGACAACTCTAACTCCGGAACTCGAATGACTCTGCTTGTAACATTTCGGCACGAACTACATAGAAAAGACGTCCGTTTTATAGTCCAACAATACCTCGACCGTTGTATGCGTATCCATTACCGCGGGAACCCGTTTACTGAGCAGTTGCATAGCCATAGTCCTGGTATTGTTGACTTGTTTACCGGTCGTTACCAAGCAACGTATGTTTCTTCTCGCGATCGTTGTATAGCAACAGCTATGCACGCTACAACCAAACTAACAGTACATTGGCGGGAAGGTTCAATCTTTACTACACTACCACCAACATCAAGCTCAGACGTTACATATTAACACAAAAAAATAGGAGGCATTATATACGGAACGCCCTTCGTGTATATTTATATATATATATAAACAAACGTCTATAAAATTCATAGTATCAACCCATCTGTCCATCATGCTTTGTGCCTCGGAACTAAAAATAATGGCGGATAATGATAAATGCGCCGGTCACGGTAGCCGAGCGGTCTAAGGCATGCACTGTTTTCGCTCTCTCGGAAGCCGGGATCGTGGATTTGGATCTGTTTCCTGTGAGGTAGGAACTGAATTCATATATATTATTCTTATACACTGCCGTTCACGGTAGCCGAGCGGTCTAAGGCATGCAATGTCTTCGCTCGCTCGGAAGCCGGGATCGTGGGTTCGAATCCCACTCAGGGCATGGATGTTGGTGTGCGTTTTTCTGTGTTTGTCTACAGGTAGATGCCTTGCGATGAGCTGATCACCCGCCCAAGGAGTCCTACAGTATGTGTAAGATCTAGAAAAACCGAAGTGAACGGAGAAGTTCATGGAGGTAGGCCTAGGCCCACTGGGGCTGTAGTGCCAAGGAAAA